AACAGCCCCAGCTCCCTCAGCCTCTCCTCACAGCACTTGTGCTCCAGTCCCTTCCCCAGCCTCACTGCTCTTCTCTGGACCTACTCTAGCACTACAAAGTTTGCTATTAAAGTTCAGAAATCTACAGGGCTGAGCTCTGTGACGTGAAGGTAGTATAGCAAGGAGTTTTTGTAGCTAATTTTGCTATTTCAATTGTTAGACTTTTTATGAGTCTACTACAGACTCCAGCCCCAAACCCACATCTTTACAAAAATGACAATGAGTATTTCGCTAACCATGGACAAACACATGTTGTCAATTGTCCATCAAGTCCTCATCAAGTCAAGCTGTAAGCTTTAAGAATTCAATGTATTTAGTATGCAGGGCTCATATTAATTTATCATAGACAAAAAAAAATACTTAATGAATAAAGTTTTCATGAGTGGACCAAAAAAAAGCCTTTTTTTTTTTTTTTTGCTTTCTTTTCAGAATAATGACTAAGTACTTATCTTCTTTTTCTGCTGGTTTAAATTGTCTATGATGACACTAATAAAAAGGTTCAAGGTAAAAAATAATCCAAAGATGATAAAGATGACAAAGTAAAGATACGTGTACAGATTGTTTTCATACTTAGGCTAATCCAAAACCTGCAAAAAAAAGGCATAGAAACTAAACCTTAGTTTAACAGTGAACACAAAATATATGCTGGATAAAATTTAGGGCTCTATCACTCTGATCTTTGCTTCTTACAGTCAAGTTCTGATATATCCATTTCACTGACTTTCAATCTATTAAGTTACGTTCTTGAAAAAGAACTTTGCTATCAAACTTGATATTTCATTTTGAAAAATGTAACTGGCCTGTATGAATGTGGAATAAATACTGAAGACAGCAAGTTGTGGTAGCTGTGGTATTCCACAAATCAAGCACATCAACTATCAAAACTTTTTACTATATATGCATTTCAGCAAACAAAGAAATTAATGTTCATTGGCTACAATTTACTTAGTTCTCTTATTAATTGATATTCTATCTTCTTTCTATTAGTTAATGACTCTCTCGTTTCTTGTGCCAATTAGTCTGCATGCTCAGTCTTTCTCTTTTGGGTCGGTGGTCATGATCTCCCCCTTCCAGAAGTACCTTTTACCCAGTCAGAGCTGATTTCAGCACAGTTGCTGGGATGGTTTTATTAGTTTCTTCCTTATCTTGGGGGTTCTGCCAGATTTCCCTGTGGCCTGTAAATTCTGCATTTTTTGTGTCCACTGTCGCTGGTACATCCTTCTTCCCAAGCCTTGTTAGCCTCCCCTTAGGTCATTGAAACATGTCAAACCCTAAACCTTAACAAGGCAACAATTACTACCAACAAGTAATTTGTTTTTCTGACACCTGGACATCACTTAGAGCTCGTTAGCTGCTCTCCGTTTCACCAATTATGTCCCCCTCCTTCTTGTTGATTAGATTTGAAAGTATACAAACATCCAACATTAAAGAACATCCTTTCTGAAGAAAATTTTATATATTACACATTTTGCAACAAGACCATGATACTAAGTGCCACAAACAGTCTTTCCTTAAACACCTCCAGGGACAGTGACCCCACCATCTCCCTGGACAGCTTATTCCAATGCTTAATAATCCATTCTGTGAAAAAATTCTTCCTACTGTCTTCTATAATTGAGGCGTCATTCAAATGAAGACGCAAGAAAGTAGTTTTAAAAATTATATAGAAAAAACAAAGCTTGAGGGTCATCACTTGAAGAAGACATTTCAGTTGGGTTACTGAAGTTCCTTAATTTTCTCTCTATTTTGAGAGGAGGAGACTGAGGGGAGACCTCATAGTAGTCTACAGCTTCCTCATGAGGGGACAGGACTCAAGGAAACAGCATGAAGCTCAGTCACAGGAGGCTTAGGTTAGATATCAAGAAAAGGTTCTTCACTGAGAGGGTGGTTGAGCACTGGAACAGGCTCCCCAGGGAGGTAGTCACAGCATCAAACCTGTCTGAGTTCAAGCAGCTTTTGGACAACACTCTCAGGCACATGGTGGGATTCTTGGCTGTCCTGCACAGGGCCAGGAGTTGGACTTGATGATCCTGATGGGTCCCTTCCAGCATATCCTATGATTCTGTGACTATGATATTTATTTTACAAAGGCTGAATCTGCAACAGTGCTCGATATGTAGCACTCAAGTGGAGGTACCAAGTGTTTGTTAGTATATAATTGCTGTTTGACAGAATGATCATCAGCATTATTATAATCTTTGCAGCTTTTGATCATTTCTAGAGGGGTGGAGCCAAGGGTCAGATTGTAGTCTCATTTTTACAGTGCAGATTCAGTGGTGTTTGTTGAATATAAAAACAAAGAGATTTGAATTGATCTGTAACAAAAAAGAAAAGAGGGGTATGTAGAATTCAAGAAGGAAACCTGAAAGTCTGAATTTCCTTGGCTGGATTACAATCTCTGATCTCTCATCTGTACTTGTATATCAATCCCATGTAGCATAATTTTCCCTTTTACCCTCCTGGCTCTCAAAGCTAACAAAGAAGGCTTTTAAGTGTGGTAATTGAACAGATTAGGCTTGCTTAGTAATAGGCAAATCCAGAGGGACATGAAAAACCTAAATATGGAAACTAGTTTTAAATAAGACCAGAATTCCAGTTTGAAAAAGGATCTAAGAGCTACTAAGTCAGACTTCTTCACAAATTCTGTGCTGTGCCTTGTTTTTAAATTCTATATCCATTCAGAATTACTTCTGCAGGTATGACAAGACACCACCAATTCTGCAAACACTCTTTAGTCGTGTAAACTAAGTGCTTCTTGTGGATTTTTTCATTACATAGTGAGTCAGTACTAGTTATCGAATTAGTCAGTGCAAAATCCTGGCAAAGTGCTGCATACCTTTAGCTCAGAGAAGAAATCTAGTCAGGTCAGATGCTTATGCTGCCAAAGTAGGATGTGATCCCATAAGAGAAACAGAAGTGACACAGAATGATAAAACACACTTCTCCTCTACCCTTGCTTAAGCAGCCAAGGGCAGAAATAGATTTAACAG